TTGTGAGCTACGAGTCACCCTCGCTTCCTTCCTCTTGCATTTTGAGTATTGCTGTGCGTCAGGTTGAGTTCAGCACGAGGCTTCGGAGCTGCAGCGTCACCTCAGTCAGTAAATCCTACAACATTGTACACACGACCAACACCTCCCATTCCAGTTTCCATTTAAATTAGACGATTTATATTTCAGCGATATAATCTTCTCCCTAGAGTACAGCAACATAGTGGCCTTTTTTAAACTCCCTTCCTCTCTGTAAATATAACTACTGTCCTGTAGTAGCTGCTGTAAATAATCCGGAGAGATATAGGTCTTCAGTGTTGGTAAACAATCACTGTTGCCATCTGTTGGTGAGTTAGTGCACTGAAATGGCTGGCGAGGCGTGTTACACCGTGAAGATAAAGCAGACGCTGAAATATTCCAGCCATTTGCCGCGCACTACGGCTCTGAAGTTTGCTCTTACCAGCTGTTAAACACTTTATTTGTAGGCCAAAACTCCGTGAGGTGGTTGGCAACACGTGAGGACAGGAGGTACCACAAAGATTCTGCAATGTGGTAATTGAGACGTGACTTTGTGTACTGGGCACTTCCAGGCCTCCCGCCGTTGCCATTTCTTCCATTATAAAGAAAAGTGTACCATTCCATTGTATCTGAAGGCAACGAGGTAAACTTTTCATTGCTCACATATGTGGCAACACCGAAACTTCCTTCCCCCCTCTCTCTCAATCCCCGGGAGAACAATCATCTTAAACACCCAAAAGTGAACCCAGAGTTGCTAAACAACGGTGAGGTGCCAAGAAAGTTGCCAGAAGAATCAGTGTTATATGTTCGCCAAGAAAAATGTTATGGGGTTAAATGTAATTTGCATCTTTGCTAATAGAGGCATAAATTGATTACCTCATAATTTGGAGAATGACTGAGTTGACACCTCTCTCTCTCTCTCTCTCTCTCTCTCTCTCTCTCTCTCTCTCTCTCTCTCTCTCTCTCTCTCTCTCTCTCTCTCTCTCTCTCTCTCTCTCTCTCTCTGTTTGCAACTAGATGCATTTCAGTCACTGCGTGATCCCAGAAAGGTACCCCATACTCCACAAGCCCAGCCCTGTCTACCTCAGTGCGCTCGAAAAGAATGGTACAAACTGCAGCATAATTTTTAAATGCAGAAAAAAAAATCAACAATGAAGTTTTAAAGGGCATCAGAAGAGGCACACACAAGTTATCACAGTGAAGTTAATACCCCAATTTATTAAATAAAAATGGCAAATTATCATCAACACATCCCAAAACTAATTCGAACCTTCCACTAAGTAAACACAAGCTTATATTTGCTTTGTTTGCTAATTTGCCGAAGTTATATGAAGGATAAATACTTCTGGTTATATACTTGGGGAAACTTTTGCTACCAGATGTTTCTCCTGTACGTTGTTCGCAGCTTCTCTCTTCCAAGATTTTATGTCTGCTTTATCACTATCCTCTTCCCATGACATTAGAAACCATAACCAGTCTTCCTCTTTCATCCTTCCCTTGTAGCCCTGAAGTTGATCACCGCGCCCTTGCCATAGGGCTGCCCCTGCCATAGGGCTGTCCCTGCCATAGGGCTGTAAACGGTATATCACTTGTACAAACTCCGACACACCTTCGGGAGTCACTGCCTGATCACCACATGGAGAAGACCCGTCCTGACTAATCTGCCTGAAGTTGGCAAGTAAGACGCATGTGCAACAGCTTGGTATCTTCATTCCGAAACGTTTCGCCTACACAGTAGGCTGCTTCAGTCAAATACAGAAGAGTGTCTTTTAACATTACTCCACACTAAGTTTATTTTCCCATGTTCGTGGCCTCCGTGTGATTCCCAGTTCTCCCAGTCAGTATCTTTTTTTAAGTTTCTTATGGTCAGTAGCTTTGACATCCTTGGTTTGTTGAATGCTGTTTCCTCTATGATTATTGTTGATGTTCTGTTGATCACCCCATACGCCCGTCATGGTAGTCTGATGGAGAATAGTTGACTACTACTAATGATGCTACTACTACTACTGCATACTACTACTACTTCTTTTCATATTTCCATTGTCTCTGCTGCGTAGTCTCTGAAATCCCTAATGTGTCGTCCCTGAAGTCCTTGCCGCGTAATCTCTTAAATCTCCACTACGGAAATTATTCATCATTCATAACTCAAAATATCTTTAATCAGTAGTATCACACATCTCCCTCCCTCCCCTCTCTCTCTCTCTCTCTCTCTCTCTCTCTCTCTCTCTCTCTCTCTCTCTCTATCTATCTATCTATCTCTCTATCTATCTATCTATCTTGATTCTCTCTCCTCTTGACTCTCTCTCTGGTTCCTCTTGATGCCTGGGGAAGGGGGTATGGATAGACCCCTCCTGTTGTGATAATTCTGGTAGGTACGGGTGAGGATGTTGCAGTTGGTAGGTAAGGGAGGGAGGGAAGGAGGAAGAGCAATTCTGCGGTGAGGCAGTGTTGTATCTAGTTTTAGAAAACAGTACATTTGAGTGCTAGGGACGGGGTTGGTTGGGATCTCATAAGAGGGAGGGAGGGAGGGAGGGGCACTTCTTCGGTGTCTGTCTCAGTAATTCTGTTCTACCCTGATTAATAGACTGCTCTAAGGGGACATCATTCCTTTCTTTCGGTCTATTCTATTTCTGAACCGATTATATTCACTTGTCACTGATTTTGATTTCATTCACTGTCCACATTGTTTGCTCTTCACTCTCTCTTTTCCATAAAATACCCCGTCTTTTATTTTTTGGATATCGTCCCTGGCAGTGCTGCCAGAATACTTAGCTGAACTACCACCACCATAGTCACTATCACCTCTAGTACTATTAAATAGCTCACCAGGGCCTGTAATAACTATTTTAAACAAACTGAATATAAAAGACATCTAATGTGTTGGACCAAAGTACAAATGATCATCACGGATTCAAATCTCTACAGACACCGTTGTGTGGAAGTTTCACCTGTTGCAACAACCCGGTCACACACAAAGCACAAAGTTATACAGGTATCATCACTACCACGTCACGGTAGCCTAAATACAACACACACACACACACACACACACACACACACACACACACACACACACACACACAAATTCTTGCTCTCTCACTCTTGTGTTAGTGTGACTTTGTAAATGGTCCAAGTCAGACCGAAACGTCGTCTTAAGCTTCTCTCTCCTATGTGCGGGTTATTTGTATGTTGTTCCAGCCACAGTATTGCACCTTTTTGTTTGCTTGACCTCACTTATATTGCTACATGAGCTTATGTTTTGTTTTGTATATTTGGAGTCACAGCACCAAGACGCTTTCATTAATCATGTTTTAAAGTGACTGCATAATGTGTCTTTTTCCAAAACTGTTTTGACTGAGTTAAGGGAAAGACTGGAACCCACGCTATTACCCGCTACAGGATCTGGGTGGCTGAGACGGCGACGAATTTGAATTGACACATTTGGGGAACCACAGAAAATGGTACCAACATCATCTTCGTAAACTACCACAATAACCACAGTCACCACGTGGACTGGTCCACAGCTATATTGGTTATTCCAGAAGAGAGAAACAAAAGCAAATGCTTCGAATATGCGTTAATATACTCCACGGGCCCATGACACAGCTGGTCGGACCCCTGGTTAACCTCTTCCTCGGCAAATTTTACGACTTAACCTAGCTGTTGTCTTACGTAGTGACACGTCATGGGTGAACACTAGTTTAGCTTCAGTAAATCTTACACGGAGCTTAGTATAAACCTTGGTAATTAATAACTGGGGATGCTCAAGTGACTGTTTACACCAACACAGAGCTTCTTCAGATCTGAGGATCAGGTTGGACATCTCGAAATTTTGCATTTCAGTGATGAAGACTGGTGCCCTGGGGTTGGGGATGGCATCACTGGTGACACCTGTTACCTTCCCTCCTGTCCTCAACCTTCAGAGTTCTGTATTTTTTCCTGTATACAACAGATTTAACAAAAACTTTAATCTATAAACAAAACATTATCGAACAGTATCCGTGCTGATATTTTTGTCTTTGAATAATTTGTAGGCACTGGGGGCTCTGGTGGCCTGGTGGTTAACGCTCTCGCTTCACACGGCGAGGGCCTGGGTTCGATTCCCAGCCGGAGTAGAAACATTGGACGTGTTTCTTTCCACTTGTTGTCTATGTTCCCCATCAGTAAAATGGGTACCTGGGTGTTAGTCGACTGGTGTGAGTCGCATCCTGGGACACTGACCTAAGGAGGCCTGGTCACAGACCGGGCCGCGGGGGCGTTGACCCCCGGAACTCTCTCCAGGTAAACTGTACCTGTTTTTTTTTCTACACGCAAGTATGTTAAATCGGGGTGGAGAGCAATGTTCCTTTGTGAGTTGATGTGCTGTTGACATGTGAGAAAGATAACATTTATAAAGGGGCTTAGGGAAGCCATTTACATGCACATGAGTTATGGAGGCAGAGGTAGATGAAGGGTAGATGGGAATTGTATATTAATGTTTAATAAAACTTGCAAGTAGATGGATAAGACACATGTACAACACGTGTCTGATTTATGAGGATGTTGCTGTCTCTCTTCTTGAGACAGCAAGGGAGTGAGTAATGGTGCACATGGTTTTTCTTTCTTTGGTTAATCTGTTTTGATGGGGATTAACCGATGTGTTTATGTACAAATTGCATATAGAATAAACCAGTGTATTTTGTTTGTCTACATACACATCATAACTTTCTGAATGCATTGTTTACAGTTAAGGAAGATACTTCGAGGCCAGTGAGTGTGGTGTGTGGGTGGTGACTGGTGTGTGGGTGGGTGAGTGTGGTAGGGGTTTGGTAGTGAAGCTGGTTGTTGATACCAGTGGTGGCTGGTGGTGAACAAGAGTGCGTCAGTGAGGGGGAGGGGGGAGGTAAGTGATGGTAGTAGTTTGGGTGGTAATGGTGGTTGTGGTGATGGCAGCCAGCAGTGGCTGGTGGGAAGCCAGAGGAGATCGTCAGTGTGGTGGTGGAGGTGGCAGTAGTAGGACACACAGCGACCTCCCTCATCCAGTGACTGCCTCGCGCTGCTGCTGCTGCTGCTCTGCTGAGCAACACGTTCATGCCAAGTGTTCTCACCCACACACTTTAACAGCATCACACACACCTCTTAACCCATAACTTCACAGCGTTATGAAGAAACTATAATAAAATGATCATAACTAATTCATTCCGATAGAAAACCTTGGAAACAATGTAAATAATAACCAGACTGAGTGAAGCGAGCCTAAGAGATCACGTGTGTGTAACTAACCTCCTTGAAGATCTCCCTTCACTACTCGCTACCTGAGAAATTGACACTTATGCAGCGCTGCAATGCTAGTTAGTGATTTAAGCAATCCTTGTTGCGCTCATCGAAACTGCAAGATTTTCATTCTTCCTCGGAAGACATCAAGTAACCTCTAAAAGATACCTTGAAGACCTTGAAGAGATCTTCAAATGCTTCCGAGATTACGGGGGAGAAAAAAAAAAAGCTTGTTTTCCATTAACCTCGAGCTCTCATCAAGGGCTTGAATGGATCTGCAGACGTTACAAGGACCTGGGAAAGTATTCAGCGGGGAAAAAATTGAGAGTTCCACATTAGACAAAATCACAGCGAATCCTATAGACACCCCGGCCAAGAAAATTCCCAGCAATTGTTCAGAGCTCATAGAAAACGTTCCTTGATAGCCAACACTCGCCTCTCAAGGGTTAAAAAACGAAAAACTCATATTTTTTGTTAATTAAAACTTTCCAAACATTTTCTAGGATAAAAACTTTGAGATAAATGCAAGAAACATTGCCAAGGTGTTTCCAGAAAACATGTTTGTGGAGCTTGTGTAAGAATATTTATGTCGTTTCTGCTTGGTACAACACGCTGGAAGATCGCTATCAGTAACTACATTCCAAATCCTCCAGGACAATAGTGTTGCAAGAGATTTACGCAAATATTTTCTTAAAAAATTAATTCTTCAGTTGAGTCACTTAGAAAAGATATGCTATTTTAGATCTTAAAAGGAAGATAAAAATTGTTGATATTGTTGCAAGTTGAGAAAGTTGCTGACACTTCGACAAGTGCAAGTAGACAAGGTTGTTGACACTACCCCAAGTGCAAGTAGACTAGTCACTACCGCAAGTGCAAGTAGACTAGTTGTCACTGCCGCAAGTGCAAGTAGACTAGTTGTCACTACGGCAAATATAAGTACACAAACTTGTTGGCACTACCGCAAGTGCAAGGAGACTAGTTTGTTGTCACTACCGCAAGTGCAAGTAGACTAGTTGTCACTACCGCAAGTGCAAGTAGACTAGTTTGCTGTCACTACCGCAAGTGCCAGTACAGAAAGTTGTTGATTCAATAACAACGTATTCTTGAGCTGTTTTTCAAGACAGTTTGACGCATCTCTAGAAAGATTTTTTTTTGGGGGAAAGCAAAATCTTTCACATCATTTCCAGGAAGAGGAGCTTTCTCTGAGACTGTTGCAAGAGACATCATTCCATACCTCTGCAAGAGGCTACTGGGAGACCTGCAAGAAACTATATTGCAAAACTTTCCAGCAAGACTAGACCTCGCGGGTCGTGGGAGGCAAGACCATGGCCTGGAAGAGACTGTGTTGCCACGCATGGATTATTGCCATGGTTCTCTTCGTGGAAGGTACAGTAAAAAAAAGACTTTCCCTGATGAAGAATTAGACATATATGCAACATCAGTCCCTCATCCAAGGCTGAGGGACTGATTACCTCATCTTTTGTATATAGTTCTACTGTCTTCCCATTATGTCCTTGAATTTGTATTGATAAAGCCACTGGATGGCGAAACGTCTAAAATAAAGATACGCAAATGTTACATAAGTGTCTAATTCTTCATCTTGTAGTCATTGTATACCATACATGTATAAGACTTTCCTTATTAGAAAGGCCTCATCTAGCTGTCTCTCCCTTTTTTTCTTCTCTCACGTGCTATTCCAAGACTGGTGGAACTGGTTTGGTGATAGCGACAGGTTGTAGCTAAAATGTGTGTGTGTGTGTGTGTGTGTGTGTGTGTGTGTGTGTGTGTGTGTGTGTGTGTGTGTGTGTGTGTGTGTGTGTGTGTGTGTGTGTGTGTCACTGATCAAGACATATTAGCCACAAGTGGCGAAACATTTCTTTAATATCTTGATCAACTGATGAATAAAATATTTGAAACATTTGAGGATCTTGGAATGTAGATAAATGGTTCAGAGAACCGACAAATTGATAAATTAGACAAGTGCAACACTTGAGTATCTTTATTGTGGAAGCGTTTCGCTACACACTGGCTTCATCAGTCCAATATAAAGATGAAGATGCCCAAGTGTTGCACATGTATCTAACTTATCAACCCGAGTATCTTTATTAACGACACGTTTCAGCTGCACACCCGCGGCTTCTTCCGTCAGTTACAGGTAAATACAATGCTGGAAGTTGCGTAAATATTTTAGAAAATCGATAAGTTGGAGAATGAGAGACTTGTGCAACATTTGAGAATCTTTATTATGTCTCATTCTTCCTCAGTACTGAATATAGTTATAGTAGTACTGACGTCAGCAGTCCCATCACCCTCGGTGGGAGGTGGTCAGTCCCTCCAGTCTCCAGCACAGGCTTGCTGCCGTCTTGATTACTGCATCCGTGATTTTTACAATTAATTCTTCTTTACATTCTTATATGTGTGATCAGATATTCTTTGTTTTTGCCCTGCCTTATTCACTTAGATGTTTAACCTGGATGATCCGATCACCAAGCTGCTCAGCCTGGATGATCCGATCACCAAGCTTCTGAACCTGGATGATTCGATCACCAAGCTTCTCAACCTGGATGATCCGATCACCAAGCTTCTCAGTCTGGATGATCCGATCACCAAGCTTCTGAACCTGGATGATTCGATCACCAAGCTTCTGAACCTGGATGATTCGATCACCAAGCTTCTCAACCTGGATGATCCGATCACCAAGCTTCTCAGCCTGGATGATCCGATCACCAAGCTTCTGAACCTGGATGATACGATCACCAAGCTTCTCAACCTGGATGATACGATCACCAAGCTTCTCAACCTGGATGATCCGATCACCAAGCTTCTCACTGGATGATCGATCACCAAGCTTCTCAGCCTGGATGATCCGATCACCAAGCTTCTCAGCCTGGATGATCCGATCACCAAGCTTCTCAACCTGGATGATCCGATCACCAAGCTTCTCAGCCTGGATGATCCGATCACCAAGCTTCTCAACCTGGATGATCCGATCACCAAGCTTCTCAGTCTGGATGATCCGATCACCAAGCTTCTCAACCTGGATGATACGATCACCAAGCTTCTCAGCCTGGATGATACGATCACCAAGCTTCTCAACCTGGATGATACGATGACCAAGCTTCTCAGCCTGGATGATACGATCATCAAGCTTCTCAACCTGGATGATCCGATCACCAAGCTTCTCAACCTGGATGATCCGATCACCAAGCTTCTCAACCTGGATGATACGATCACCAAGCTTCTCAACCTGGATGATACGATCACCAAGCTTCTCACCTGGATGATCCGATCACCAAGCTTCTCAACCTGGATGATCCGATCACCAAGCTTCTCAATCTGGATGATCCGATCACCAAGCTTCTCAACCTGGATGATCCGATCACCAAGCTTCTCAACCTGGATGATACGATCACCAAGCTTCTCAACCTGGATGATCCGATCACCAAGCTTCTCAACCTGGATGATCCGATCACCAAGCTTCTCAATCTGGATGATCCGATCACCAAGCTTCTCAACCTGGATGATACGATCACCAAGCTTCTCAGCCTGGATGATATGATCACCAAGCTTTAAGAAGAGACTGGACAAATATATGAGTGGGAGTGGCTGGGTTTGATTGGTGTCATTGGGTACGGGAGTTATTTCTTGGGGTACGGGAGCTATTTTCCGGGGTCAACGCCCCCATGGCCCGGTCGCAGATCAGTGTTTCTGGTAGATCAAAGTCTGATCAAGCAGGTTGTTTATTTTGGGCACAGTCCGACTTAAAAACCATTCCTACTGGTCAGGAACTGATTGGAGGAACTTGTCGAGTTCACTCTTGAATACTGCCAGAAGTTTATTGGAAATTTTCCTTATGCACGGAGCAAGGGCACTGACAAGTTGGGGACCTCTAACACTCGTCGAGTTCTTTCTTACTGACACCGTCGTTCCCATGCTGTTTAGTGAAGGTATTTTGTATAGAGTGTAGTCATAGTAAGTGATTACGGTGCTCAGGCTTGAGATCAGTCCCTCTAGGATTTTCCATGTGTAGTTATGATATATTTTTCTTGCCTACGTTCCTAGGTCATCAGACAATTCCAGTAGTTCAAAGCTTGACAGAATGTATACAGGCAGTGAAAATTCTCAGCAGTCTCTCCTTCCAAGGAAGGAGTCGTCAATATACTGTAGTATTTCAGCCCAGAAAGAACAAGTGACTTGAGAATCATCACTGGCTTATCTCTTGTCTTGAAAGTTCTAGCTATCCAGCTTATTTTCCTTGTAATAGCATTGACACAATTGTTGTGATTCTTAAATGTATGAGCTTCTGACATCATTAATTTTGTCTCGCTTTATTGATTTCAGTTATCCTATAACTGCGTTATAGTATTTATTTACCCCATTCTCTCATTGCAGAGTAAATGAAACTTGTCCTGTTAACAATCGTATTGTTGTCTGAGGGCTGCTGGGAGGCCTGATTTATCTCGTTTAAAGATCAATTGCTTACGAGAACGCCACTCACAAAGTCTGGAGTCATTAGCAAAATATGCTATGGTACAATGTTTTATTTCTTCGAGCCTCACAAATAATGTAGATGAATAAGTGTATGAGTAAAATAGCACAAGTGAAAGCCACTAATTTTGCAATGCACTTCGGGCAAAGGATCATACTGTTTTTAATTTTGTATACATAAATGACCTGCCAGGGAGAACTGAGTCAAATAAATCAATGTTTGCCAATCACTTAAAACTTATGAGGATAAGAACTAGATATAATGCTTTTATATGTACATGTAAAAAAAGACTACAGCAACAAATACACACACTCAGGTACTATATATGTATATAACTGTACATGTTCACAACAAGATGCATACATGAAAACCTGGACAAACTGAGTAAGTGCAATGTTATGTAAACTGGGGCATGAGACCCTCATACAAGGTTTCTTGACTCTGGTGAGGGGCTCTTGATCTAGGGAATTGGATCTGTGCTTCAGTTCCCTGAATTGGGTCTGAATACCTTCCACCCCCCCCCCTCCACAGGCGCTGTATAATCCCTTTTGGTTTAGCGCTCCCCCATGATTATAATAATTGGGCATGAGAGAAAGAGAACCAGACACTGAAAACAGAAAGGCGATAAACTGTAAATATTGCTCAGTCAGAAAGATCTTGGAGTGAACATTGCGCACAATTTTTTCTCCAGTGGTGTATATACATAACATACCATCTGCAGCATATGCGAAGATAGTTAATCCAAGACCTACCTTCAGAAACATCAGTAAAGTAGTATATCAGGGGTATACAATACCAACAAGTTGATTCTTCAAGACTACTGTGCTGATCACCTGCTCCTAGGCTGAGGGATTGATTACCTCGTCTTCCAGTCTTTTGTATATACTTCTAGTCTTGAGATTATGTCCTAGGAAATTAAATCTTCATCAGAGTACAAAAAATTCTGGCCACAAAATAAGCGAAACACCAGCGTCAAAGACCTGGGAGTGATCATGTCGGAGGATCTCACCTTCAAGGACCATAGCATTGTATCAATCGCATCTGCTAGAAAAATGACAGGATGGATAATGAGAACCTTCAAAACTAGGGAGGCCAAGCCCATGATGACACTCTTCAGGTCACTTGTTCTATCTAGGCTGGAATATTGCTGCACACTAACAGCACCTTTCAAGGCAGGTGAAATTGCTGACCTAGAAAATGTACAGAGAACCTTCACGGTGCGCATAACGGAGATAAAACACCTCAATTACTGGGAGCGCTTGAGGTTCCTAAACCTGTATTCCCTGGAACGCAGGCGGGAGAGATACATGATTATATACACCTGGAAAATCCTAGAGGGACTAGTACCGAACTTGCACACGAAAATCACTCACTACGAAAGCAAAAGACTTGGCAGACGATGCAACATCCAATGAAAAGCAGGGGTGTCACTAGCAGGTTAAGAGACCATACAATAAATGTCAGGGGCCCGAGACTGTTCAACTGCCTCCCAGCATACATAAGGGGGATTACCAACAGACCCCTGGCAGTCTTCAAGCTGGCACTGGACAAGCACCTAAAGTCGGTTCCTGACCAGCCGGGCTGTGGCTCGTACGTTGGTTTGCGTGCAGCTAGCAGCAACAGCCTGGTTGATCAGGCTCTGATCCACCAGGATGGCCTGGCACAGACGGGACGCGGGGGCGTTAAACCCGGAAACCCTCAGGGAAACCAGTTAGTCGATTTAAATAGGACTGCCTGCAATGCCAAAGACTTCAGCATGTCACATCCATCTTAAAGTCAGTTTCAACTGGAGATTAAGATCACCAAGCAATAATGATCATCACCAGTCCCAACTGGATCAACGCATCACCAGCATACATGGATGAAACGACACCAAGCTTCTCAACTGGCACTGTAC